TTACAATAGGCGACCGATGTGGTACAAAAACTCAAAAAGTTACAATAATCGAGATGTTGGAAAACGGCTACGGGCTGCATTGGAAATCGATATAGCGATTGCAAGAGTAAACAAAATGGAGCAACTTAATAGACCAATATACTAAAATGTATCATAATACATTCTAAAATATTCGAAGAACTTGATGGGTTGTAATTTTAAATCCTGAAAAAGGTGGGGAAATTCACCTAGTTATTTTCTGTGCATAAGTATTTCATTTACCCACACGTGATGACGTCGGCGGTACGAATTTTCTGGAAAATATATCTCTTCGAAATCCTCCATTTTAAAACACGTTTTCATTCTTTTAATATGCATTCAACAATGACGGCCGACAGGCAACCTCCGATGACGGCAGTAGTGTATACAGATGAATGTCCGAGACAGTAGTCCATACAGCTCAGACCCGACATTGGCCGATAAATCGGTTTTGGTGTACGCGTACCGTAATTCCTATTGAGAAGAAGGAGAAGAAGAAGAAACTTGTCACAATATTAAATATTGATCAGCTTTCAAGACAAAATACAGGGCATCCAGCATAATATATCGATCAAAAGAACTTACCTGAAGTTCGATCGTTATTATATGAAGGTCCAGTCCGAAAATATTTCATGATTGTGTAGTATGTGTCTCTTCCACTTTTAGCACAAGGTTCAAAGTAAAATTAAAAGAATCCGGCTCTGTGCCGGTCGCCCTCTGCAGTCGCTCCATCGGAACGTATTCAACTCATTGTTTTAAAGTATTCATTCGGCATCTTCTGGAAAACACATAAATAGCTGCTGGGTTAGATTCTTCCTTGGGTGGGTAGGGATTGTAATATTTTCGGACTGGACCTTCATATCGTCGGCTTTCTCACGAAGTGTCCTAACCAACGGTTAGTGAATTTTACAGGAGAGCAAGAAAACGAAATCAGCGTGTTGTTGATTGAGCATTGTATGTAAAGTTTAGATATTTCCGAATTGAAAATTCACGTGTATTAGCCTATATTCATTGTGAATCATATGCCGTTTCAATATTTGCGGTAGCTTATCAAGCTATTTTGGAAAAAAATGGAAAACGCACGTAGGTCACTTCGTGAGAATTTTCAGAAGATTTTTGTCAGACAAATCTAAAATATATTTTCATTGAAGTTCTTGTTATTATATTTTTTAAGATATACAGAATTTGTTTCATTTACTTATAAGCAAAGAATCATATTTCCAGCCAAGGGGGCGATTATCTCAGAAAATTTGTTGATTGTTAAATTTTTAAGTCCTAATCATTGGTCTGCTGACAGCAAAGTTTATGTAAAAAAGTTCAGATCGACTTTTGAAGTTTGGCTACCCCCTAAAATATTTTCCTCAATGTCCATGCCTATAATTGATGTAGAGTATGACAAAAATATTACGTGATTAGACGAAGAAAACAACTCGAAACGTCAAACCAATTTTTATTGAAATAAAAACTAAAATAAAAGCAACTGACTTAAATATTATATTTTGAAATATTACCAGCAAATGTTGATGTGTTGTGATACACAAAAAAAGGCAAAATTATCAATAATTCATTCCGTTTCATGCGCCAAATTTTGTAAAAGTTTTGGAATGCTGGTAAGCGTACAACTAACTGGCGTTTTTCGGATTTTACATAACGAAATTAAGTCGGAGTACTTCTTTTTTGTTATTTTTAAGTTGTTCTAGTTTAATATCATTTATATTATTATTTTTTTTTTTTTTTTTTTTTTTTTTTAACGAGGGGGGAATGCATTTACGCACCATACCATAGCACGAGCTACGACGTGTGTGGGGCTCCAGGGTCTTGAAGAGATCACCTAATACCCACTAAACCCTAAACCTCCGCGTGGCCCGACTCATCAGCGTCTCGGTAGGCCATGTGTTGTGCGTGACCTGCGGTCTGCTACAACGTCTCCTCATGTGTTTCAGTCTCTGGGAACGCCGGGTTGGTTCCCTTTACCTCGCACATTCTATCGATGTCGTTAAGCGATCATCGATAGAGGGTCTGCTAGTTTCTCTTGAAACTCTTGTTTTCGAAAAATCAAGAGTTTCAAGTCATCTTACCAATATGTTGTTCCTGGTCCTGGTCCTGAAGGGTCCTGGTCCTGGTGGGTCCTGGTCGTGGCGGGTCCTGGTTGGTCCTGGTCCCGGTGGGTCCTGGTCCCGGTGGTTCCTGGTCCTCTGCATCCACGCCGTGGGTGGGGGGGGGGGGGGGAGCAGCCGCAAATTCTCCTAGTCTCCTAGTCAAGGTTCCAGTTAGCGGGTGCCAACTGGGACCTTGGTCTGGGGTACCTGGTTCTGCGGTTGCGAGGCCTCTCGTCCGGATCGTAGTCCATGAGGAATCGTAGCTGCTCGTTCGGGTGGTCCTGAGCTTTCTCGAAGGTCTTCTCCGCTTTTTTCCTCATGTACTCGTGGATGGTATCCCAATGCAGGTCTCTACGCAAGGTTGAGTTCCTTACGTAGGAAGGTGCATTGGTGGCGATCCGGAGTAGCTTCATCTCTAGAGCAGCAAGTCGCTTGCGGTAGCTGGGGGCAGCGTACCCCCAGACCGCGGAGGCGTAAGCGAGCTGAGGTCTGGCGATGGCCTTGATCAGCCGTAGCTTGGTCGCTAGCGGCATCTGGCTGTGTCTACCCAGTAATGGATAGAGTTGAGCCATGGCTGCTCTGGTTTTTGCGATGACAGCTTCTATGTGCGCTTTCCAGGTGAGGGACTTGTCAAAAACGATCCCCAGATATTTGACATTGTCGCTCCACTGGATATCTTCATCGAAGATGGATGCTTCGAGAGGTCTTGCAATCCTTCTTCGTTGAATGAAGATTGCCTGCGTCTTCTGGACGTTGATGCGGATTTTCCATTTCACGCACCAGTCCTGAATTTGGTCCAGTTCACCCTGTAGTCTCCTACGGATGATCTCGGGTCGTCTATGCTTGGCGGCTATAGCAGAGTCGTCTGCATATAGGGCCAGCATTGTGTCAGCTGTCTTCGGCACATCGTAAGTATAGATGTTGTAGAGCAGGGGGGCTAAGGCTGACCCCTGGGGCACGCCTGCTTCCAGCTGACGTCTTGTTGAATGGCATGTACCAATCTTCACCGTGAACCATCTTTGTGTTAGATAGCTCTGGATCAGTTGGCACATGTTCGCATCGATTCCGGCGGCTTCCATTTTGGCGATGAGTCCATCGTGCCAAACTCGGTCGAAGGCTCGTTCCACGTCCAGCAGGACGAGACCGGTTGCCTCCTGGAGATTGAAGCCGCTGGTGATGTTTTCCGTCAGTCGTAGCGCTTGGAGTTCCGTGTTGTGGGAGGATCTGAAGCCGAATTGCTCTGGGGGGAGAAGTTGCAGTTCTTCTGCCTGCTTCTCTAGTCGAACGGCGATAGCCTTTTCGACTACTTTGCCCACCGAGGAAACCAGGCTGATGGGCCGGTAGTTCTGGGGCAACTTCCGGTCCTTGCCTGGCTTGGTGAGCATTATAACCTGGGCTTCCCGCCACCGCCGCGGGAAGTGGTTAAGTCTCAGAGTGGCATTGGCGATGTTGGTGAGCGCAGCAATGCCTTTGGTGGGAAGGTTCTTCAGCATCCTATTGTTGATGCCGTCCCTTCCCGGCGCCTTTCTGACCTTCAACCTGCGGATGATCAGACGGATTTCCTCTGGACTGGAGGGGTGATCCGTCTCCTGGCCAGGTGGTCGACTCCTCATGTTTTCGGCTGCGACTTCCACGGCCTCCTCGTGGTTGTCGTCCTCGTCTTCATGGTAATTGAGTCTGCATTCGGATTCTAGCGAATCGGCGAATGCTTCGGCTTTTTCTTCACTGGAGTAGGCCAAGCCGCGTTGGCCGTGAAGAGTGGGGATCGTGGTGCGCTGACGACGAAATTTTCGCTGCATAGACCAGGCCGTACCATCCTGGGTCTCTAGTTCTGCACAGGCTGCATTCCATCTGTTGTTTTGGAGTTCCGCGAGTGCGTTCTTCAGAGCTAACGATGCTCTGTTTCGCGCAACTCTCGACTCCTCTGTCAACAGCTGGAGATGTTCTCGCTTGAGTCTTCTGTTCTCCCTGATCAGGTGCCTAATATGGTGCGGTGCTGGACCATTTAGGTATCTAGGAACTGCCGTAGTCTCGGAGCGGGTGCTGTCCTCGTGCGCTCGCAGGACAGCATTCTCCAGCTCCTCTACTGCGTTGTCCAGTTCCTCCGCTGATCGGATGGTTGGAATTTGAGTGATGTTCCTCTGGACGTTGGATTTGTAAAGGTTCCAGTTCGTCCGTTTGGTGCTCAAGCTATCTCGAGTTCTAGACCCTGTACCAAGTGTTAGTAGAATCGGATTGTGGTCCGACGATCCTTCCACCAGGGTCTCTATCTCGAACTCCTCTCTGATGTTGCGGAGGATGGCTATGTCCAGTACCGCAGGTCGCCCAAGGCCGAATGGAATGTAGGTTGGTTGCTCCGGACCGACGATGACCCCCGCCAGGGCATCGACGTGTTCCTGGAGCTGCCTTGCATTCCTGTCTTCGACGTTGTTGTTCCAAGCCGGAGACTTGCAGTTTAGATCTCCGATGACTATGCGTGCTCCTGGGCCTCTCAGGAGGTCAGCGATGTCATCTTCGTCTAGGGCCTCCCCTGGTGGCACATATAGGGAGGTGATTCTGTAGGGACGGTGGTTGTGATGGACCTGGACCGTGATTCCGTCCCCATTTATGTCTGCGGCATCGTCGAGGACATGACTCGTCAAGGTACGTTTGACGAGTAATGCGACTCCTCCACCTCTGCCTCTTCTGTCGTAGCGGTACGTCTCGTACCGCGGGAACGTCAGACTATGGGCAGCATCCAACTTCGTTTCTTGGATGGCCATCACCTCTGGTTGGTACTGGTCTAGTATCTCCTGGATTTCTGGTTTCCGTGCCCTGAAACCGTTGATGTTCCAGGAGATAATGCGTAGAGATTCTACGTTTTGACCTGTAGACATTTCGGGTCTAGTGCTTGTCTTGCATCTTGGCCTCGAGTGCATCCAGGCGGGTTATGATGGCTTGCATCATTGCTAGCAGTCTGTCATCGCCGTGTTGCTTCTGCGCAGTAGTTCCAGTAGCAGTGGCGGCTGCTGGGGCAGAAGTGGACATAGGCTTCTTCACTTTTTGGGCGTAAGAAGTCCTATTTGTGGTGGGGACTGCTTTGGGGGCAGAAGCAGCTTTCTTCGGCGCCTTACTACATCCCTTGTAGTTGGCGGGGTGGCCTTCTCCACAGAGGCAACACTTGGCGTTTCGTTGCCCTGTTGGCGGCGCTGGCAGACTGCAGCTGGTGCTGTTGTGGTCCTCTCCACACTTAACGCACCGTTCAGCGAGACGGCAGTTCCGCTGTGTGTGCCCGTACCGCTGGCAGCGGTAGCACTGGCTGGGCTCGGAAGACTTTTTCTTCCTCTCGAAGCTGACCGTGAGCATGGCCAGCCTCTGGATCTCTGCAAGCTTTTCCGGCATCTTCGTCTTGACGAGGAAGAGCGGAAGTGGCTTCTTTGTGGTCCTTGAGGTCAGCTGCTGAACCACGGCGTCTGCGATGCCTTGGCTCACCAGATCCTCTTTGATGTCATTGACTGACATCTCTCTCGGAAGCCCACGAATGACCCTCTGGTCCATCCTGTCCTCCTTCAGTTGATATGTGAAGAAGGGCCGCTTGATGGATTCAAGCAGTGCGACTAGCTGACGGTAGTCAGCTGGTGTATTTGTGAATACCTTCACACTGGTACCCGCCGTCCTCGCTTTGGAGAATTGAATCCCCTTGCTGTTCATCATCCTACTCAAGGATGACCAATCAGCGGTGCCCTCGATGTTGATTGGCGGAACTCCTGTTCCTGCCATGGGGGCCTCGGTGGTCCTGGTTGCTCTAGGACCACTCTTCTTTGTGGCAGCTGGCATCTTTCGCTGCCTGGGTTCTTCTTCTTCTTCTTCGGAGGAAACTCGCACCCGCTTCCTCCGTCTGGTGGCGACACTGAAGTCGGTGTCGTCCGTCCTCTTCTCGGCTTCTTCTTCCTTCGGTCCTTCGGTCTGTTGAGTGCCCTCTTCTTGGGCGTCCATCTCGTCCGATGTCGCCTGGTGGTCCTCTTCCTCCTCTTCTCCTGTCTTCTTTGCGGCCTTCTTCTTGGCCCTGCGGAGCTTCCCGCTCAGGTCTTCAATCTCCTGCCTGGCCTGCAAGAATGCTTCTTGCAGGTTTCGCATCTGCTCTTCCAGCATGGCGAAAGCATCCTTCTTTTCTTTCAGCTGGTTAGCCAGCTTCTCAATTTTTGCCATCGTAGATGGCAAACAAACAATCTATCGCAATGAAAATTGCAATAAGATTGCTCAATATGTCCGGGTGGGTCGCAGTCGCACAAGTGTATGCTCGTGACGGCTGCTAGCTCGGAACTGTTATATTATTACTATTTCTCATCAGCCTTTTTAACTCAATACTGTCATCGTGGTCGCTAGACTTAAAAAATATTTTGGTGGGCGTGCCTTTTATTACAATAAACTCCGTTTAATATTTTGCCCCTCCTCAGCTTGCCGTGTGGACAATATTCTTAAATCTTTTGAAAGTTTCTTGAAGTCAAAAATTAATTGAGAATTACTAAATAAGGTTGACGTTTTCTGGCGAATCAAAAAACCGGATAGAGTTATGAGGGTTCAAAAAGATCTCCAACTCCCGTTATCGCAGTATGAATGCACTGTGAGCAGATTCTCCCTCACTTTGGTCATGATTCCACCACCGAGGAGCGTATACTAACAAGGATTATTGGACACTAAGGGACTTATCTTCATTTAGGTCTCTTCGTGGGAATCATAAATTTACCTTTGCAGATAAGACACCCAGGGGCTAACGGTGTGTTGCCCACACTGATAGATATATAGTTATGCTTCTTCGTCAGATTAACCAGCATGGAATAATACACCTATATGCGGGTTATCTCAATTTTTGATATTTTGTCAGTTAAAACACTTCGTGAGAAAGGCGACGATATAATAACGATCGAACTTCAGGTAAGTTCTTTTGATCGATGTATTATACTTCAGGTCCAGTCCTCAATATTACATAATTGTGTAGATGTTTAAAGAGTGTTTGCCAAAAAATGCCTTTCCTAAAGAGATGTAAACATTATGTTATCAAACAAATGAAGCAAAACGGATATTTATTATAAACTGAAATACAAGTAACAGAATAAGGGCATTCAATATACTGATGCCTAAACCAAAGAAAATCATTATTTCCCTGATAACACTGTTTCGGCAAAATTATTAGATTCAGACAATGGTCTGTTGTAAAATTTTGCGAAGCTATCCGAGTGTGTACTCCAACCTGCTGATTTCCTTATTGTGTCGATGGAAACACCGCTTCGTAAGGCTGATGACGTAGAAGCATGTCGAGTTGAGTGTGCTTGAAATACTGTGGTATGTGTGCCTGTTTGAGGATATCTTTCACCCATCTGCTCAGAGATTGCTTTGTTGCCGCGCCATGAGGTTTACTGTGCGTTATCAAGAGGAAGTCACAGGTTGGGTTTCTCAAGGTGCTTGTTGCGTTGAGATATTTTCTTATGCATGATGCAACACAGAGTTTTTGATCAAGTGAGAAATAAGGGAAAGGCATACTAGGCTGGGAAAGCTTTGGTTTTGAAGTTTTCGTTAAGTCCGGAATCAATATTATCACCCAAGGACCTCAACATTGTATCTAGGGCGTTGATGGGGATTCCCTTTCTTCTAAAGGCTTCCCTGATAATCTCGCAGCTACCAGGGTAAGATTGTTTGATAGCGGATGCTTCACTTGGCTGAAAGGACAAAAAAGCAACTCATCACTGCGTCCAAAAAATAATGGTTGCTTTATTATCAATTTATCGAACAGTGGGTACCACGGTTGAGTGCGCCATAACGGGACTACTAATATGCCTTGCGCCTCGTCAGTAATGATTTTTTGTAGGACTCTAAGTATCATTGAAAATGGCGGGAAAGCATAAAAGTTTAAGTTTCCCCAAGAGGACGTAAAAGCGTCAACTGATTCTGATCCTGGGTCCTTTATCCATGAAATATATCTGCCACATTTATTGTTATAAACAGAAGTAAATATATCAATATCAGGTTTACCTAATTTGTCAGATATGATTGCGAAAACCTCACGGCTGAGAGACCATTCGGTTTCGGTACGCAATATTCGAGAAGCATTATCCGCTTGCCAGTTTTCTTTGGAAGGAATATAGGATGCCAAAATCCACATATTTCTATTTTCGCGCCATTGCCAGATTTTTCTGGTAAGAGCATTTAAATTTTGGTGTTGCACACTAGCCATTTTATTGATACAAGCCAAGGCCGTAGTGTTATCAGTTCTGATTAAAATGCTACAATCACTAGTGTTTTTTGCAAAGCATTTTAGACCAAAAAATATTGCCTGTAATTCCAAGAAATTTATGTGATTCTCCTTATCCTGGGATGTCCACCATTCATGCGAACTTTCACCTTGGCAAAAGGCACCCCAGCCAGATAAGCTAGCATCAGTGCAAATTTCTAGTTCATATTTGTCCCTCGTCAAGTTATTTTTAGTGGTATCAATTTTAATTAACCACCAATTTAAATCCGACAGAATTGGTTATTTTCATATAACCATTGTAATTTTCGTTGCTATTTTTCAAAGCTAAAAATTTTGCCCTTTCACAATTTTTTGTATAGAGCCATCCATATTTCACCGCAGGACAGGCGGATGTCAAATGACCGATAAGTTGGTCAAATTTAAGAATTCTAAATCTTCTTTGTCTAATAAGATTATTGGCCAATGTTGAAATTTTTTGTCTTTTGTCTGAAGGTAACTCCAAAGTCATGGTATTTGTATCAAATATAAGGCCTAGAAACTTGCACCTCATGCTCGGAGCTAGAACACTTTTTTCCTTATTGACGATAAGGCCTAAAGAAGATAAAAGGGATGTAGTACACATTTTTCCTACATTCCCCTTCAGAGTTCCCCAGAATCAAAAAGTCATCGAGATAATTAACACAGGTATACCCCTGGCTCGTAATATTTTAACAATGAGTTGAATACGTTCCGATGGAGCGACTGCAGAGGGCGACCGGCACAGAGCCGGATTCTTTTAATTTTACTTTGAACCTTGTGCTAAAAGTGGAAGAGACACATACTACACAATTATGTAATATTGAGGACTGGACCTGAAATATAATACGTCAATCTCTCGTATACATATAGAACATAAAAAATAGTGCCACAAGTTCGTATAAGAAAATGTCCTATGGAGCTTCCACCCAAATAAAGATGCTCCTAAGCGACGCCACTGGATATCGGTTGTTTGAACGGCATTAGACTTTAATACAATGCTTTTCACTGTGTCGCATTAGCTATTACGCAATACTAATTAATTGCTTAATAAAGTGCAAGCAACTTCAGTTTGTTACGTGCAGCAGCACTTTGTAGCATTAATTCATAGGGAAGTTGTCAGGGTCACCGTATCTATTCGCGCCTTCCTCAATAACAGATAGATTAACCTTTTGCACCTTTAATCCTGAAAAATACTGATAAATTAAATACTTAGTAAGGAGTTCATTATAGTAGCGATAGCTAGTAAGTGATATTGAGTAACATTGTATATCAGCTATCTGTATTAAGAGAGGACGTAAACAGGTAACAAAGCAGTGAACTGCATATGAAAAAACATAAGACTACGCAAATCGCATCGCATTCGTTTAAGAAAATGTAGCAAGAGTCATGATTATTATAATTTGATAGTAAAGGCCGGTTGCACCAATTCGGTTTAACCGAAATTCAACTTTGAATCTCGTTCAACGGAAAATCAGCGTTGTACCCACGTCTTATGGGCGAACTGGCAACACCAAGGTCATCCTTTCCAGGCAAAAAGGAGGAAACTGCATTACCGGCGTCACGTGACGTGCTGCTTGCCGGGATTCTCTATGTTTATATAAATGTAAAAATATTAAATATGGCGTTTGTTTTGGTTAATATTCATATCATCGACGCAGATGCTTTCGGAGATATTTCGTTAAAAATAAGTGTAAAATATAAAGTAACACTATCAGTAGCTGTGATGGTAGTCATGAGATGTATTGTGACTATTGTGGGAGATGCAGAAGTTCAGGAGACTCGGTCATAAATTATAAAGGCCTACAGGTAGGCTGTGAACCAGTCTCATTATAATCCTTGTAGTTGACACCGTTATATAAAGTACGAATTTTTTTTTTGTGTTGAATAAGACATGGATAAATTAAAGGCATACAACTGAGCAACTGATCAAAAGTGTCTAGCTTATTTACAAAGAATTCTGAATTACATTCGTGTGTTCTGTATTGTTTCAGCATTATCAAGAAGCAATTCAATGAAGTGATACATCTGTGTTTTGCAGCACACAACATGTATTTGGAATAAATCTATCTATATTTTCATGTAATACAATTTTCATACCATTATCAACAGCATATGATTATTTTTGGAAATTAACTATATTTTGAGCTTCATAATTAGTGTTGGATTTTATTTTTCCGAACCTTGGTCTTAGCAAAACTGCTGAAAGAGATATTACCATTATTCGGATATTTTATGAATATATGTTCATGAAATAGTCCTTCGATATGGGAAATATCATTTCAAATTATGAACAAACCCCCGGCACATTCCTGGAATTCCTTATTCCAGCCGGATTCTTGGCATTCTTTCGATAGTTTCTCCAGATCTCCAGGCAAGTAGGCGGCGCAATCATCTGACAAACGTCAACGGTGTTGCCATCGTTTAACGTGCAGCGCCCACTTCTTCAGTCTTATGTGTTTTGTGGTTGTACCGTACCAGGTTCAAGGACATACATACACAAAAATGTCACTTG